GTATGTCCATGCACATACATGTCACACAGGTATTTTATTGCTTATGCACAACATATTACCCTCATAGCCGGCAAGCTCTCACAGGAGGGTGCCCAAAGCCTCTTTGCTCTGGCAGTCTTTTCCTCAGCCCGTTTCCCTATCCTACCAAAGCTCAAGAAGATCTGCAAGGTGGACCTGTCTAAAACAGTGGGACCAATTTTGCAAGGTGGGGTGGGGCACTTCCCCTTTTGGCTTTTCTCCTTTCTCCCCTCTGTCTTCAGCCTTTCCTTCTACTCTGCCTCCACCCAGCTCAGTATAGGTTGCAATATATTGATGTAATGGCAAACTGTTGTGGTTGGTCTGGTGGCCCTTTGAAGTGCTTATGTCCTTGCTCTCAAATGCTTGAGCTCCTTTTAAGGAAGTAAAGCAGCTCAGAGCAAGGACACTTGCCTGCACCAGTAACTAGCTACTGGTACAGGCTCTCACGTCTAAATGCCCATGGCAAGAGGGAAAACCACAAGATGTAACAACAATGCCATGTTCCCAATGATGCTAGCTCTAGGGGAGTTAAGTGTCAGAAGGTTCTTCCCTTTTAACTTATCTCCCCGTGCTAGTGTTTCTAATTTCATATTAATCTACTCTGTCATGCACTGATGTCCAGGACTACCTTGGCTTGCAGCATTGGGTATCTCTGTCCATTATTCAACAGTTTAAACTCCATTTTGTGAGATGAACCGTCCCCACTACCTCCTCTCAAAAAGAGGACTATCTATACATACTGTGCATTCCAGGTCCATGCTGTAATTTGTAACTAAGATATGATCACTTTTTGTAGAAGAAACCCATGAGTTATGCACTGGAATTCTAAATGGTCACCTTCAGCATCAGGCAGCTGCCAGAGCAGAAATGTTGATCTTCTGAGCCCACAGCTACTTTCTAAGTCCAGTGAAACTGTGAAATGGCTTTTTCTTTTTTATCCATCAATGGCTAGATATGGATGGGCAGTTATAGATAAACAGGTTACCCTCTCAGACAAGCATAACCACTGCAACAAGTAGCTTTTTATGCATTAAACAGGGTCTGAGTAACAGCTCACTGACTTATTAGCTTCCCACAGATGGCTTGAATTAGGATACAGTCCCCAAGCTGAAATAGTCCTAAATTGAAACCATCTACTACACACAGGATGTTCAGTCCTGATTATCCACAAAAGATGCACGCAACATTTAACCTGAAACTTGAACAGAGGCAGTAGAAATCATCAGAAGATATTTCACATCAGCTTCTGCATTAAGGTTAACACAGAAATACAGCTGCTCATCTAAAATAAGCTACAAAGAAATAATTTGTAATGGAGTAGAATTTCAGTTGGATGTGTATTTCTAAATAGCTCAGAAGTACAAGAGGTATTAAGGAGCATCATAGACCAACACAGATGGTAAAAGGGAGTCTTTTTTTGTGTGTGTGCCTTAAAAATCTAACTGTTGCATTTCTGAAAATGTTACTGTATTTTCTAGAACAAGTGAATCTACACTTAAGCATAGAGCACGTGGCTCTATAGCATCCAGATAAACACAGAATCACAGAATGATAAGTCTGAGAAGGAAATCTAGGGTGGAGAAGATGGCAAGAAAGAATGAAGGTTTAGTGGATAGAGCAGCAGAAATAAAATTTGCAAGAGGAAGCTGCTCAACACATAACAGTATTCTGGGATTTACAACATTAAAAGGATAGCAAACTAATGAAGGAGATGAAGAGAGGTAGCAGTGGCCTGAATACTTTTTTTAATATGCTTCTGCTTTGTTGTGCTTCTGAGGGGTATTACTAAAAGCTGCTGACTTAGTTCCACAAATGATCTTTTCAACACACATCTTGAGCTCACACAACTGCAAGCATACATTTCATGATCATCTCAACACCTCCCTTTGAAACTGGTGTCCTCTCTGATCATTTTAATTGAGACTGCCAAAAACTGAAGGCTCCCCATGAAAATCTGTCAGGTGAATTCAGTATCTTAATTTATGAAGTCTACTACACCTTCACGCAGAGGGGAAAGATGTTTCCGATAGTTCTCTTTATCAGGTCTACAACACCCAGTTCAATTGTTAGTCTAGAGCTGGAAGAAGAAAGAGAGGAGCTAAAGCCTATCTTTCTTTAAAAACAAACAAACAAACAAACAAAACAACACTTTATTTCCTCTGATCTTTGACCTTTAAAATGCTAAACTGATGAAAAAAATAATAAGCTTTTGAAAATAACGTTAAAGGTTTTATGAAGATTTACTATAAATCTGGTAAGCAAACAGTCATTTGAACATATTAACAACAGATTTCTCACTGAACTTTAATAAGATGAGGTAGTTACTCTTTACATTTAAGAATATTGCAATTTCCAGTGTTACGTCTATAGCACTACATGTACAAAATGTGCTCCAGATCCTAGTGGTCCTCTTTGATAAAGACTGGACTCAAATTAACATTCCTCAGTGCATGTAGTTAGGGGAGACTGTCTTTCAAGGTGCAGCAGAACAAATGGAATGTGTTCAATCATATGTTGAAATACAGCATGCACAGGGGACTCCCTTTTCAAGACAGAAGCAAATGGGAAATTAGAAAATTCATACAAAAGAAAATTGTTGTCTGTCCATATCTGCTCATGTGCATTGCCTGTTCGTTATATCAGAGGCCACCACCTATCTTCCAGCTATAAGATGTATGTAGTATCAGTGTGTGTCCTCTTCCTAGACACCACTTTTCAAACTACATTTTCAGAACTTTCTCTTCTATCTAAGTTTTGCGATAAACAGAGATGAGAAACTGAACTGAGGACTTAGAGATGGCAACAATGGATGGAACACTAAGCCTGCCTGCATTGCTATACCACTGCCAGCATAAAAAGATATTTCCCTGATATATGCGATTGCACAGGCCAAACAACCCTCTCAAAGCATTCCTTTTTCCCTAATAAACTGATTTGACAATGATCCAGAATGTGCATAGAAATCATACAGATCATAATACATTTGATCTATTTTTTTTAAGTAAGAGAACATATTTTTTTCAGTATATCCTTTTAAAAAAGTCAGGTTAGAGCTAGAAAATGGAGCAGAAGAGATGAAAGTATACATAGCTTTATAGAAAAGATGAACATGACAAGTGTTGCAGTTGAAACCTACAGTTAAGATTATTCGTAAAACAGAATACTATGAATTGTCATAGTATTTCTGTTTTGTCATATAGCTGTTGACTATATCAATATCTCACTACATCACTACAAGATGTACGCTTCTATATCAAAGAGCTAGAGAAAATGGCTGTAGAAAAAAATATTGAAGGACAAGGAAAATCTTTTTTATTGCTGAGTGTGCAAAGTGAAACAAATAAGAACAATGGATTGAACTTATTTTAGGACACCAAAGGTAAAATGATCTCCTTCAATTCTAGAATCGTTTATTACAGTAACTTTTCGTATGTGTTTATAATGATATATATGTGAACTACTGGAAGAAGAAAATGTAAATTTCAGCTCTGCTGATTATCTATACCTGTGATGTGAAGTTTGCTCAATGTAACCAAAATCTTGTGTGTTTATTCAGTTGTGGACAAGGCAGTTTTAAAAATATTGCTATTTTTATCAAGGTTGGAGTATTTTGTAGGGTTAGTTACTTTGTAGTCGCTGTACCGTGTACTCATTAACTCATTGTACTGAGCTGATAAACAAGCAATACAGGCAAGATTTTGTCAAAAGAGCTACAGATTGAGGAAAAAAAAAAAAGCACTAGTTAAGTGATCAGTTTATTAAAAGGAATGTTTTAAAATTGTCTGTTCAGTGGCATGTCCCTATTGATGTAGCAGATGATCTTTACACTCACATTTTTAGTAAAAGAGGATCGAGAGATAAAATGAAATTACAAAAATTACTGTATTATCTACCAGTTAGTGCTGGAGTTTGAAAGTAGGCTCTATTCTAATATGCTGTACTACCTTGACTTGGTTACTTTGTCTTTACAGCCTCCCTTTCCACCTACCATCCTTTATTGTATTTCCTTCGACTACAAATATTGAAAGGCATTTGCAATCTTTGTGTAAGCAGTCTTCCACCCTGAAATTCTTTCTTACAATGCAAATGTAAAAATGATTAGCAATACTTTTATTTGCAGATAAACAAAGGCATTTTAATAGACACTCCTGTCTTGGAATACTTTTAATCACACAGGGCATTAATCAAAGCATTCCAGCATTCTGGGAGTCATTGAGCTTTCATTATTGTTATTTTTCCTACTGGTAAACAAGCATCATGCTCAAGTAATACCATCTATTTCTTAGTGGACTGTATACGAGGTGATGCATGCAGTAGTCATCAGCATCACTAGTCCATCAGGTGGAGCCTGGAATTCCTAAAAAGAATCAAGGTTTTGCTAAGTCGCTTCTGGAAAATAATTTTAATTCAACAGATCTCAGTGACTGTGGACTTTTACCTAGAAGAACAAAAATTGACTTTTTTTCTGATGTCCTTGCAGTTAAAAAAAGCAAGGGAAAATGAAGACAAGATATTAAAGTCTGAAACATGAACATTATATGTTTTCTACTGAAACATTCCTGGAAAAATCTTAATAGTTAACATTCAAGATAGCATTTAAAAATTATAACAAAAATACCTGAGAATTTACTGAATTTTTATCAAATCTGAATTCATATAATTTTAACCTGGAATCACATATTTCATTCAATTCCTTTCATAGAATGAAAACAATCTTTCCTAAGGGGAACATCATGCAGTCAGTTATGCTTTAGAAAAAAGATAAGTAGGAGATTTCTTTAACTTCTCTGCAGATGAAAAGGCTTGCTGTCCTTCAAAATGCTTTTCCCAAAGAGAAGGTTGCACAAAATACACTAAGCATCTGAGTAATCCTTTGCAAGATTAGATGAAAAGGCATAGGACCTGCTTGTATACCCATGTACTTTATAGTTGTTTAACATTATATTTGAGTAATACTTCTCGGAGTGGACTATTCATCTTACCCAAGACTCTCTCATTCTTAACACTCTGCTGTCCTCCAGTAGTAGTAGAAAGGTCCTCTGGTACAGGCATAGGTTCATCTGCGTCATCTGGGACATCACTAATCGGAGGACTTTCCTTTCCTAGTAGTGAAGAAAGCATCAGTGAATCATCAAGTAGCCTCATTCTCAAATAAGACTGTAAGAGGAACCACAACCAAATAAAACTGAACAACAAAAAAGTAGTAAATTAGTAACACTACTAGAAGCATGACATCTTCAGGACCAAAACCTGCTGTACTACAATGAAAGCTTCTTTAGAACATAGGGGAATTGTAGCTGTGAGAAGAATGTGTGGCCGGGATCTCTTCAAGCTTAGTGACCTGTGGATACATGGTTACAAGTCTTAATTTTTTGGGACGCTTTTTGGCTGCTCTGGTCGTCAGGTTCAGTTAACCCAACACAGACTGACAGAGTATAAAAGGTATCAAATGGTTATTGTTTCTGCAAAAGCTTCTAGAGTGCACATCCATTTTTGCTTCAACAACATAGTCTAACAAGTCTAACCCACCAGTACTCTTAGACACTTAAGAGAACTAGCCAAAGAATGAAATTTTATCTTCAGCTAAAAATTCAACTAAATCTTCATCAGGCTTCACTGATACCCACAGATCAGGCTTTGGCTGTCTTTCTGCCTACAAATAATCACGTGCTTACAGTTCCTGGGACCTCCCCAAACACATGCAGTTAGCAGAGGTCAGCCGAAGCATAACTTCAAGGGTTTTATGATCTCATATTTGTAAAGAGGAAACAAACGTCTGTGTCTTTCACATATGAAGTACTGTAGAAGATATCAGTTTGGGGTTTTAGTATATTTTAAGTATAATGGAACTGTGTTCACGCTGAATTCAGTACACTAAGAAAAATAACTCTCCAGCTCAGCAGTGCGCTTCCAGAAACTGAGAGGTTTCTTGGTTTCCAGGATCAGGTGCAGCATACATGTACTGCTCACAGGACTATCTCTATCTTGCAGAGCTTCTTTTGGAGTGATTTCACATATCTGCTTGCAAAACATTCCTTGGAAACAACTACTGAAAGAATTATTAAGTGATTAGTTTTCTTGACTACTCCTGAAAGACCAATCTTTGAATTAACAGAAAAGAAGGAAAAAAGCTCAGATCAGTATTTGAGCTCAGTAACATTAACATAAGACCTTTGTCTCCAAAATTGAGATGTTACCAATTTACAGTGATGCAATCTATTAGACATCCTATGGCAGTCAGCACAGCATCATGAGCAGCGATTTCGTGGCACAAAGGCCTAGAAAATAAGTGTTTATTCCAATGAACATTCCCATATGAACACACAAACATTAATTAATTCTGAAATCAGTTCTCAGAAAAAGAAAAATTCAAACATTGCTTATATAATTGCTAGCAGTCAGTTGATACAGATTTGTAATACAGGGTACTTGGAAAAAAGAAACTGGCTTTTATCTCTCGGATGGAGCAGAGCACCAGTGCCTTCTGGTCTTTACTGATCGTGGCAGAAAATAATAGGTAAGTTTAAGTATCTTCCACATCACTTTGCCCTCTTCCAGGGGCCTGGCAAACTCAGGACAATCAATGACAGTCCCGGTCACAGTTTCATGCTCAGCCTGAGGGAAACACTACCCTGCTATGTAATATGCTATATCCTCTCCATGTTCCAAGGGGCATGCAACTAAACCCCCCCCCAGGATAATCTGTGCTCTCCCCTATGCAGGAGAAAAGTGTAGATTACTAGAATTCCCACAAGAATTACTGTTAAAAATATCTATCCATATGTCCTTGAGAACAAAAGAACATCAAACTACTTGATACTCAACTTCCTCTAATGACTGTAATCCTTCTGTGAAGATCATCTCAAGCTATTTGAAAATAGGGTAACAGTGGGGGAAATTCACTGCTATGGTGCACAAATATAGGTTTAAATGAATGTAATATGTGAATGACTGCATTTCTTAATGATGCGCCTATCGGAACGTGGAACAATCACTGAGAGGAGGTGGTGAGAGCGGTAATAGGTGGAACCAACTGAAACTGCCCAGCCAGAGGACTTGAGGACCACCACAGATTGGTCACGCATAGGCAGAGGGATGGGCTGGATAACTTAGTAAGGCTCCCTCCATCTCCTAATTCTGTGCTGTATCCTTCAATGGACAGAATTACGCCTGCTGAAAATGAGTGCAACAGTGATCGTGGACTGTGTAAATGAAAGACTAGGAATTTCACAGCAAAGGAAAATAAAGTACATCTTTATAAAATTAAGGAATTCAAAGGAACTTCCAGCAGTTTTACTGATGCAAGTCCCACGCCTGTCAAACTGAGGTACATCTTATGGATTGGAGGTGTGAATGAGAAGAGACAATAGAAATATTCCAGGCTTTTCAACTCTCTCCCAGTAAAAAAAAAATAAACAAACAAAAATCCAGACTGCTAAGCTGAGAGTAAGAGGCAGTCTGGTCAGAATCATCTCTCATGGCACTACATCCAGTTCAAGGAAAAATGTTAAATAATAATATTCAAAAGCCACCTGTAACTTCCAAGGTGCAAAGTGTGCTTCCAGTTACACAAATGAAAATTGATAGTTTGCCTTAGCCTAGATTCAGAAGTACACATTATTTAAAAAGCTGAAGACTCTAAGGGCTACCAATCCACATAAACACTATCAGAGCTATGAGATTATGAACAGGAAACAAAACCAAACAATATTAATATGTAGTTGAGCATCCTAGAATAAGAAAACAAAGGAGAATGTTTTGAAGGTAAGTCTCTTGGAAAATGAACCTTTTTATAAATTGGAACCTTGATAGTTTATGGTGACAAACTGCATTTACTAAATAAATATGAACCTTCCATTTGTTAACTAAATAGCAGTTTGCCTAGATAACATGAATCAGACAAGCCTCACAGACCTGGTGGGACAGAAGGAGGATATCTGATAAACTTCCTTCTACAGAGGAAACAGCAGCTAAGAAAACTTAGCAAACTTGGCTTTAGTGACTCATCTCCCATCATTTGACTTCTTCATGTTACATATGATATAGAAATCCCTGCATGCAAAAAGGCAGGGTAAAAGCAGTTGTTTTAAAATAGACATTTTTGTTGAATTCTGCAATTTAGATTCCAGAGCATGATATTCGTATTTCATGCCTTAACTACATCTTAATTGTTAAACCGTGATAGGTTCACTACTGCATGTTAATCTGACAGATATGCAATCTCACTAACACCCTTTTGCCAATGAATTTAGAAATGGAAAGGGAGCAAGGAAAAGAAGGAACAGTTTCCCATTTACTTTCTAACAAGCATGTCCAAAATAATGACTGGCCAAAGGGACAGAGCTAAAAAAAAGCCACAAAAAACTAGTGGCAAATACTGGGATAAATCATTAAAATGTCACATAATATATCAAAAATCTATTCCAGATATATTTTTGCTCAAAGGTAATAAGGGAATCATAAACTAATCTCTTGTGTTGTTTTGTTTGTTTGTTTGTTTATTATGATTATTAATATTACTTTTATAAAGAGCCACGTGAGGAAAATATAGACAGAGAAGCTGTAGAACTGAAGTTCTGTTTCTGGCTCTGCCACTGACTGACAGTGCCCTTAGCTAAGTCACGAATGCAAGTAGCTTCAAAAGCAGGTTGCGTGTGACACGTTGCCCCAGTTCATGCTGCTCTGAAAAACAGTCTCAGGTATCAAAACGCTGCTATCCCTGTATGAAAATTTTCACAGCATGGCCTAACCTATCAGTGGCAGTAAGATATCTACTCAGCTCCTCTGTACTTCAGTTTCCTCATCTGTGCCCTACCCATCTAGTAGAGACACAAGGAAAGGGAACAAAGTGCCCAACCCAGCTAAGTCTTTATGCTTCCCTTATTCCTATCTAAGTTTGCATGCCTCCTGGTGATTTCACAGCCTCACTCCTATATGGAAGCTCTTCAGTTCACATGGTGCAGTGGTGTTGCTAAAACTGCAGCTCTTGAAAAGAAAGCCAGGACAGGATTTCTTACTGAAATTTAGTTCACTACTCTTCCACAAAGGAATACTGGATTTATTTAACACCTGAGAGTTAGTTGTTTTGTATGGGAGTGCTGGAACCACTTAAGAAGCAGTGAAGCAATAACAGCAATATATAGATTTTCTAGCTAAGAGTCAGAACCCAGTTCATCTCCCATTTTCTCTAGTGGAATCTCCAACCTGAGGTGAATGAGGAAACAGTCCTGGAACAGTAGCCAACACTCAGGTGGTAGAAATCAGCCCAGGATATACTCATTTACTCATTCCCAGAATCTAGCAAGAACTTCAAATGCAAAACTCTTCTTCCTGCTTTTGCAAAGTGTGGCACAGCCTTGCAGGTGTTGGGGAAATTTTTTTTTGTTAAACATGGAAATATTTGTACTGTTTTTTCATCTTCCTTAGCTGTTATGCCCTAGAACAGAGAAAAAAAGAAAAAAGAAAAAAAGAAAAAAAGAAAAAAAAAAAGCAGGAAAAATACTGCTTGTTAAGTGAGATATTATCTGTGTTTTCTGACTTTTCTATGGGTGCCGGATACTGCTTGGTTAAATGTATGTCAGCTCTCTCCTCATTTCAGAACTGCAACTGCTTGACTCATGAAATATCGCTTTCAGAAGAAGAATACAAATTGTGAACTCTGAGGTGGTCTTGCAGTATTCGGTTCCTCTAGGAGCATGTGATGCCAGGATTCCAATAAGTGGGAATTGCCTGTGCATGTGTGGGGTTTGGCTCACTCACGTGAGCTCTGTGTTCTATTGGCCTGGCTCACTGCTGCCACAACTGAGTCAGCCACAGCTGCATAAATGCAGCAAATGGAGGCAAAATCACTGCTCCTCTGCTGAGAAGACTGTTTCTAGAGACCTATTTTATTTCGGGAAGGGAAGGGAAGGGAAGGGAAGGGAAGGGAAGGGAAGGGAAGGGAAGGTCCTCATAATTTTATTTATTTATTTATTTATTTTTAATAAAAGGCATAACCAAGTGTGCTGGTGAACCAAGTCACCTAATTCCATAGGCTCGGAGAATATTCTACATCTCATGAGCATTACTCACAGAGCAGGAGAAACAACTAGGAGTATTCTTCATCTGGCATGACAATCCCACTACAGAGTAGACCTCCCTTGTCATGCAAGGAAGCATCCTAGAAGCATGTAGAACCCCGGGAAGAGGATGAGAGGGAAAAACTCCTTTCTGAAACTGCCAGCCAGTGAGAAAGAAGTAACATCCTTGAATCATCACAGTCTCTACTTTTAAGGTCTGTATGAGCTGATAAGGTCTAGTAAGAGTCAATATCTGTGGAACTTAATTTGACAAACTAACATAAGGCATAAGGCTGAGTTCATAATAAATGGAAGTATATTTGCAAGTTCTTTATTTGTCCACTTGTTCACATATCTAGCTAAGAGCCTAGCTTCAATACAGCCTCTGCTCACAGAATGTACCAGATGAAATTATCAGCAGCTCAGTGACAGGAAGGGCAGGAAGAGTTCATATAGCTTTATGTTTTTTGTCAGAGGTAAAATTCCTCTTGCACTGATATATTTATTTTTTTAAGGAGAACTATCCCTAATTACAGAAGAGTCCTGTTCTCAACAACATTATTTGGTAGAAATTCTAAAATGTTCAGCAAAGTATTGCAGTGACTCAAACTCTGGAAAACTTTGAAAGCTACAAATTAAATGCACATATACATATTTAAATGTACACAAACATTCACATTGCAAAGTTTCCTGCAAATCTTTCCTCTCAAAGAGAGAGGCAGACAGCAAAGAAGGCCAGATGACCTAATTAATATCTTCCACACATCTTCTCCTCATATCCAAGGAAAAATATAATGTGCTTGTAAGAGACAGCAAGCGTGGAACTCACATTATTGCCATTGTGAAAATGCCACCTAGGTGGCATCCCAGGCAGTATGTGCTACCACAGAGGAAGAGAAGATCAGAGCTCCTGGCCCCAGGTGCTCACATGAGCAGGAAAGGCCTTCTGCAGCACGCAGAATAGGTGGGCTCAAACCACCATATGCCTCAATGCTCTGAGCAGATCCAGTGCTTTGTCCACACAAAAGAGTTGTGGCATTAAAATCTCACTGCTTTTTCTGCCAGAATCACTCATGCTCCAAAGACAGAAGGCACAGGACATGCTTTATTTCATTTACAAATTGTTCCAGCTTGCAACAAAACATTGACGTTAAGTATGTCCAGCTCTAATTTTAAAATTGTTAACTGACAAAGGGAGTGAAGCACGCTTCCATAGGGCCTACTAGGAACAACTTTCCTAAACCAAACCTAGCTGAAAATTGTCTGTTAGCATGAAGGATTACTATATTGTGGTTCTTTCACTTGGAAAATGCATCTGATTTTCAATTTCCAGGTGACTTTAAAAGTTCTGTGTTCCTTTTTTTTTGGTGGAAACTCATCAATGTTTTTATAAAGAAGGGGAAAAAGAGAGAAAATTGTGTTCATATATTTCAGGAAAATATTCACTACATGGCCACCCACACTGGATCAGGACCTTCACAATTTCTTACAGTTGGCCTCTGGGTCTTGAAACTGAGAGCCCAAGAGCTCTCTCTCAAAAAAGAGCCATGTGCCCAGTGTGGCTGCCGGAAGGAGGCCTCGGTGAACAGGGCTCCAGACTGAACACTAAAAGTGAAAACTGAAAGCCATTAACTGTTGCAGCTGCTAACACATTAAGGAAACCGGGAGGGAGACTAACTTATCCCTTTTTAGCTGCTGAAGCACTGAGGTATTAGTACATGTTGCTTTGCTAAGTTCCAGCACCAATCTGCTAAGGAATCAGTTTCCAAGTATATTAAGAATGAAGCTCCCCATAGAAATATCAATATGGGACTGCAGAATCCTATCCAGACCACTACAGTTCAAATTTCAGAAACCTAACTTCTCTATTTTTCATACATTTCTCAAAATCACAGAATCGTAGAATTGTAGCGGTTGGAAGAGACCTTTGGAATCATCTACTACAACCTCCTGGTAAAGTAGGCTCAAAAATATTATCATTCTGGACAAAAGCAGTTACAAGCTTAAAGTCTCATGTCAATCAGTCTTCTATTTAGTTTCAGAATCTTTGGAAAAAGTCAAATAACTCAATGTAGTAAATAAAGTTTGTTTGCTTTTAATTAGTATTTGCCCTCCCCCTCATCTGGTGAACTTTGTTTGTTCTGTATTTACTTTGTAACAATCAAAATTTTGCTCCCAAAAGAAAGAGTGTAAATGTGAACCTGACCATGCTTCAGGGATATACTACCAAAGGTTTAATGCAAAATTACTTCTATGCTGCTATATTCCCTTGACTTCTTTATTTACTCTGTTCCTTTTAGAAAATCCATGCACTGTTGAGCTTGATATTAAGTGATATCATTAATTATATCTCAATTCCCACTCTGGTTTTTAAAAAAGACCCAAAGCAATTTTTATTGACAAGAAGAAAAACATTGTACTGTGCTAGAAAGATGAGCAGGAATTTAGGATTTTCTTTATAATGTATTCATTAAGGACCTCACCTGAAACCTGGGACATATCTTGAGCCTCATCTGTTTCCATTTTCCTCAAGTTATCTGAGAAGAGAGGAAAAGCCTTAAGTTAATGCAAAATAAGACACACATACACACACAGAAGAACCCCCCCTCCCCTCCCCCCAAACACACATAGAAGGAGAAAGAAGGGGGAAAAAAAAAAAAAAAAAGCCCTTTGCTATTTAACTATAAGATTATCTGGGAAGAATAATGTATTTTTCTTTTTATTTCCTCCCTGCATACTTGCTGGAGTATCAGACTGGCACAGACCTTGATCCTTTTAAAAACAGCATTACAAAGATTTATAAAAATATCATTACAAGCACAGGAGGACCAAATTTGTTATTTATTGTTAATTTCCCACTGCATAATAACCCAAAATGCAAACTGACTGCAACAAAATTAAGCAGAAAATTAAATGGCCCTGGGTCATTGTAGGCACAGAATTCATTCTCTTGGTTGATCCATAGTTATGTTCTTTCTAATTTACTGAGCATGCATCGATGAACCTTGAGTCAGCTTGGTGACACGCGTACAATCAGCAATCAAAAAACGAAGCAATTTGCTGAAGAATGTCTCATTTACCCAGGCAGGGCTGCATATCTGAGCAGCAACCGCCACTACCTCCATTAATAATGAATACACCTCAGGCAGCAGCAGATGGGCAGAACAGCAGCCTCAGGCGTGGGCCCCTCGCTCGTCCAGGAGCCCTTCCTACAGACCACACCGGCCTGGCGCTACACGGGGAGAAGTACAACTCCCTAAAATAGCGAAACAGGCCCAGGAGAGAAAGGGAACCCGGGCCTTCCTGTTTTGCTGACAGATGGCTGGCTCCACCGCTTGGTAAGTCATACTGGGAAGCTCCTGCCCTCCTCTTGCGACACACCATGTTCTGAAGAGCGAGCGACCAGTGACCACAAACACCAGGGAGAAGCAAGCAGAGGGTTAGTGGGGTAGAAATAAAACTCAGGTTTGCAGCGGGCCCTGGGCCCCACACACCAGCCACGGACAGCTGGTAGCCCTGCAGATAACGCACGCGTTGCTAGAGCAGGTAGTCCCAGCACAACCTGCTCCTGACCTCAAATCATGGTGTGGGCAGCTGAGGTGGCCTCAGGTGGGGAGTGGAAGAACCCTGTAAGCACTTTGTGAGCTGTGGTGTGCTAGGTCACAGCTTGAGCCAGACGTGACTGACTTCACATCCCACCAAAAGAGGAGTTGGCTCTGTGCTGTTCCTTAAAACCAAGATACATCCCCCATCAGCTATGTTTCCTGAAATTAAATTGCATTTTCTTCACAGTTGGAAGCAGAGGAGGATGTGGCCTGGGTTCTGACAGAAAGGGCATCAAGGATATCCTAATGTTTTTAGCCCAATTGCATGATTTCTTTAGTTTTTTTCCAAGTCTTCTGCATGCTATCTGACAGACTGCAGTGGAGAAGTGCAATAGCAGAAGTCATTTATATTGGTCACCTAAGCTTTATGGTCTCCTCATTACTTCTAAATGGCAGCAGGACATCTGAGAACCAATATACTGCCATACCACCTTGTGAAAGTTGGCTTCCCTCATCTGATTCATGCTAGATTTTCATAACAAGGGAGTGGAAACTTCAGGACTGCAGACGGAGTGGATGGGGAGCAGATTTTTGCCTATAGAGCTGGCAAAAGAGATCTGAATTCTCACAGAATGTGTACCGTGGCACTACTTAATGTTCAATAATGCTTTGTTCACTTTATTTTGGTCTTAAACTTTAATTCCAGAAAAAAAATAATTTGTTTAACATGTACATGTAATTCTCAGAAATGATTCCAGCCATGCAAAATGCAAAAAGCCACCTACTACTCAAAAATTTGCATCAGTTCTTATCGGAATCAAGAGCTTTCAATTGGTCCATTTTAAAGTAGAAGTTGTCAGTAGGAAACGCAGCTTCTCTTGCAAGAGGAAGAACACAGCACCTTCCTACAAAATAGCCCACTTGGTTATTGGAAATAAAGTGCATTTATGTATGGCAGGTGGTATAGCACAAGTGCTCAGTACAGTCCATTATTTCTACTGCAAGTGTGACTGAACACAACAGGAAAAAAACAAAAAAACAACAAAAAAAACCCATGCATTTATTACTGCTTGTGAGGGTCACCTGGCTGCTATTAATCAATTGATCACTACAAATTTTTCTACAGAGTACAGTGAACCTCAGCCAACCGAAGAAAACATCCCAAGAAAATATCCACAAAAAGGGAATCACATCCCTGAAGAACATCTCATTCCTACTGCACCCATTTTTCTCTCTAGGGCTTTGGCAAGGCTGGGAGTGGAAATGGGAGGAAGAGGTGACAAAAGAGACTTTTTTTTTTGTTTTGTAGACAAGGGCTTTTAAAAGCCATCAATCTATTTCAGTGTTCCCAAATTTACCTACTCTTGTTTTACATTCAGCATTTCTGCAACATAGGCTGCACACTTCTGTCTGAAAACACTCTCCAGTTCCTAAATGGTGAGGTAAGGTGAGTTAAGGTGAAGTACATATAGATTTTGCTTTTTAATGGAATACTTCCTGGATTGCTTTCTGTGAAAATGGACAATTGCCTTTTCAAAAAGTGATGCCTCAGTTATCTAAGAGATGTCTTCAGAGTTGATATAAATGATTTTAGGGCATTTAGCAAAACTGTTCCGTTTGATGGGGATGAGATGGAGAGAAAAATAGAGATGGTGGAAAACAAGGCAGGGAAAGATTTTTTTTTTTTTTCCAAAGGTTATTTATAATAATTAAGTATGATTCCCACATTAGATGAAAATCCACAAGTGCTAAGCAAATTGATTAAGCAAACAAACTAACTTAAAAAATCCTAAAGGTTGCTGAATCCTTTACAGGGGAAAGTCATGCTCTTACACTACAGTACTTTATGGCATCTGGTAAATACCAATGAAATCCCAGCTAACTTTTGTGCGCTCTGTATCAGCAAAGAAAACACAGCAGGGCATTCCCCCACCTCTAATTCTACAGTGACAACAATGTGTTTAGTTTTGGCTCTGTGACTATTAAAAGGTTTTTCAAATTGGACATAACGTGACTTGACATAACATGACATAAATTTTAAGAGCAGAATGTACTTCTTTTAATTTTGCATGATATATCTATTAATAGGAAATTATTGTGGCAACTCTGTCCATGGCATGGGGGGGTTGGAACTAGATGATCTTTAAGGTCCCTTCCAGTCTAAGGGATTCTGTGATTCTATGATAAGATTCTATGACCCCACAAGAGAGCCCTATGTATGGACATGGGAACCCTATTTGTTTTGGCAAGAAAAGGAATTGTTTTATATTTTTTCATCTTAAATTGTATCTACAGAATCAAATTTCCCACAAACAAAAGAAGTGTTTATGACTTCATTGTCTTCAGTGCAGTCACGTCCAATTACATTAGTAGGTAATTTAGGAGCTGAAATTAGAAATCGAAAGATGGGTGGACAGCTGACCAAAGCAATCTTACTCTCAAATGCTGAGTGTGTGTAGCTCTCATTTATGTCCGGAAAAAGATCAGCACCTAGGTGATAATAGATCTTTTTTCTCTTTAGGAATCCAAAAAGCTTCAAAGCTGGCTCCGTTATGTGACGAGCTTTAAAGTTCCTTCCAAAAATGTGTAAGACTACTGCTTCAAGTCTTTTCAGATGTAGAACTCAAACCTATATGTTTTCTTCTCCACAATTCAAATAGCAGATCACAGATGAAGCTAATGCTTTGGAAAAAGTATCAAATGTTGCAGTCTGAGCTCTTTAGCTAATTAGTAATAAACACACACTAAAACCGAGAAAATAAGCTGATTTTGTTTAAAAGAAGGAAGCACCTAACTGACCTAACTGACAATCACACAAAAATTTTGGATTTAAATCAGTCAGCATTTGTTCAGGTCTGGCACAACCCTGACCCCAAAAAGAACCATACATGACTGATTCATCTCCTTGCAGCTCTGCAATGCAACTTGTGCTACTTCTTGAGAATATATCAGAGTAAGCCCCATGAATCACTGAGGCACTACTCTATGTACACCAATTGTAAATTGCAACAAGTGAATTTGGGAACTTTTAGGATCCTGACTGTAAATAGGATAAAGTCATTGCATGGTCAAAATATTCCAATCTAAGAATACACCAAATTAATTATTTGCAAGCCTTAATTTATTATTTTATCTGCTGTTTTACAATGCAAATTCAAAAGTGAACCCTCCATTTCAGGAAAATGAATGCTCAGCACTAATACAGTTTATTATCAATGTAAAGAAATGTATAGGCATGTTGTCCTACAAATCCTACTCTCCTAAGATCAGTGATATACTTCAGTGGAATGATTTAATTCAATGCCAAACTAACTCCCTTCTTTGTTCACCACCTATGTGAACAAACTATGTGAACAAAACATGTGGTTATTGACTTCCCTGTGACAAGATGGGCTTTGCAGTCAAGACAATGGCATCTGTGGACTTGAAATCACAAATTTTGACATTTGTGAGTTACTTCAGACTGGTTTATAGCACACTTTAACTCAGAGCTGGCCTTCCATCTACATATACCTGTAATTCTGGTGCTGCAAAGAGGACACACATGCACACCATGCCTTGCTGCAGGTTTCCTACTTGTAGGTGTAGCCTTTCCAGATAATCAGAAAGGACCCCTTTGGTTCTGAATACATCCCTCAAGGGATCATACACTTTTACACAAAGGCTTAGAGCAGAAAACACAAGAAGTTTGGTGGGAAGCAAGAAGAACTTTCTACTTGTGTCTTGCAGGTGCTTTTGAAAGCATAGAATGAGAGTAGGTCACACGTTCTTCAGCAGTTGTCGCTCTGGGTTAACAACGATAAAACAAAGAAGCAAGCTGGCAAAAGCCTCACTTCCACAGCCACTGCGGGGACGGAGCTGATTTCACAATTCTAACTTGTTGCAAGCTGCCTGGCAGGAGGAAAAGGGTCTGCTCACACAGGTCACTGGAGCAGCTGGCCCTACGTGGGAGCTCGTGCAAGAGCGCAGCTCCTCTTTGTGGTCTTTGACATATCTCATTGGCTCCAATTCATATAGCTTTTAAAAACAAATATCCAAACCAGTAAGCAAAAGCATAAAACCTCAACCCACTTTACAACATTTGCTTTTATGCAAAGCACCGAAGATGGGTCCTAGATTCCACCACCTACAGGACACAAAGAAGTTGAATAAACAAAGCAAAACCAGGCTGCAGCCTGGAAAACACAGCAGGAACGCAACACCTATGGCACTTAACGTATCTGATGGGAGAGAGTGGGCAGTAACAACAAGTAACGAGTGGTACATATGCTGCAGCATCAGCCCTTGTGTTTTTATGCTAGGAGTTGCATCTTCCTGCAGATCAGAACAGCTGCATTTCTAATTGCATCAGTCCATCTTGACCTAATAGAACCAAGCCTCTCACATCCACTCAAGCTGATGGCTTTGAAGCAACAACCAAGAGAGGGGAAGCATAAAGACAGCCCTGCAGAAGAATTTAATCTTGACTTTCCTTTTCTTAAAAAAAAAAGACATCATCTAACTTTTTTTAACGGGCTTTTTCCTTCACATACGACTTTTGCCTCCCACAAACAAGTAAGCACAAAACAGGAAGGCTGTTACATGTGAGTAGAAGGTAGTATGTATTGCATAACCAGTGCAAATAGTTGAAGAAAACTGCTAGCATCCTACAAACTAGTTTTAATTAAAAGTGTTCAGTATCCCAGCAAGCAGCTGATAATTAGCTTTATTATTATAATTTAATATGCTAGACTTCACAATCTCGTGAATTACTCTACTTTAGAATCATTTTAATTCTATTTTTAATTTCCGCCTCATCACATTGCCCAATGTAAATAATAACTACAAGGATGAAGGGTGGTCCTTTCTGAAAACTAAGAGCTGAGAGTCATAATAAGCATGCCAGTGTCTTTCCACTCCTGTTTCAAAAACACTCTTGAGATCTTTTAAAAAGTGCATTAAACTAAAACTGTTTAAACAAAGTGCATCATTTTTTTCTCCCTTTATTCCTTTCCTTCTCCATTGATTCCACAGTCAGCATTTTCTGTGAAGCCTAGGGAGATGTTTAGTTAATTCAGTCTCTTCTCTAGTGTAAATTCTGGTTAACTACATGAACTGACAATACAATTATAAGCATACAGTCAAATTTCAATGGAGAGCTCCTGTCTGCAAAATGAAGGAAGCACTGTAATTCAACACACAAGATTAAGAAAAGAACTCTGCTAACAGTACAGATTTGAAACATTTATATGTCTGGCACATGTAAAATTAATTTCCATGTTAGTGAACAATTGTGAGGGTGTAAGAAAAGTTGTCTCAGAGATCCTACATAATTCTGAGTTCTTTGGGAATTCTTTGTACAAGCACCAGCAAATGATAAAGAGTGTATTTTGCATGCATTTATGTGTTTCCCATATGTAATCTCATTAGCATTTGACTGTACTGACTTATATTCAGGTAACAATTCCCAGTTAAAGGAGATTTTGAAAAAGTCTTTCAGTGACTGTGTGCAAATTACTGAACTTGATATCACTGCCACTATGAAAAAGGTTCTTCCTTCAAGTTTTCACATAGTAACCAGTCATTAAAATTGGTTGCATGTTATGAGAAAAATATGGAGGTAATTTTCCTAATTAAGGCCACATTTTATTAACTCATTAAACTCTGTCACCTTTTTGCTTGATTTTTAGTGAAGACAAGAGGAATAAATTCACCATGACAGAGAAAATGCACACATTTCCATCATATAAATAAAATGACTAAAAACAGTGAGATGTGGAAATTGAGGCTCTCAATCTAAGAGTGTGGCACGTTCTCCAGTGACCCAAATGAGCTTTTGGATAGTCTTCCATAACTCTCACTCAAGAGAAAGCAAGGAGCGGATGCAAAACTGCACTTTTTGTATCCCTTTAAATAAGTACGTGTGATTTAAAGGCACAGGATATCTTCAGAACAGCCTAAATATGCAATAGAGAAAAAAAAAAGAATCTCTTTACGTCTAGAATTGTTATTGCCAGATATCCCCAACAATATATCAGTAGCTGATTTGTCCAAATTATAGGAGGTTTCAATAACTCTGCTTCACGATCTCAGAATTGCTTCCTAATTTCTCTTCAAACTGTTCAAGCTGTTACGGATTATTAAAGGACATTATCAGCCTGAATGAGCATATTAAAGATCCATGTGATTTTTTTTTTTTCTAAATAAACCTAAGAATATCTCCTAAAATTACTATAATTGAAATGAATTAGCAAGTTTTTCCACGCTACATGTTTCAGTTAACTCACTCTGCTTTTGCAAATATTTTGGAGCCAATCCACTGCTGATGATTCCAGCTTTATAATGCAATTGCTCCACTGTTCTCAGTGACTTGACACAATTGGAAAAAACGAAGCAATGCAACGAGGAATCAAACCTTTCATATAAAAGAAGTTCCTCTTTTACTGCGAAAGCTTGAGCAACTGGGATCAGAAGAAATTCAGATCACTCACATAATTTTTAAAATAAGCTAAACTAGTAGACATTCTCTATATACTGAAAAAAATAAAAGGCAATTCTAGTGTAAATGCTCTTCTAAACATGCAATCTGAGTGGTCTTCTGAGACATTTATACCAGAAGCAGGAGTGTGCCATGCATGTCCCAAACCTGCATTGTCCCATCCGCATGAATTTTCAACGGTACAAATACGGTTCAGAACACGCACATATCTTTCCAGGACTAGGATCTACCTCTGCAGCCATCACAGTGTTGGCAGTGACCTGTCCCATACAAAAAAACCTATAGTCTTTTCTTATCCATGAGCTGAAAGCATTGAGGAAGGTGGGTCTTAAAGAAAAACGGTGAGGCAGACGTTGGGTTTTTAATATACATCACAGCGTAACCTCTGGAACAACATAATTCTGTTTAAATTTAGGGAGCAAACTGAAGTTTTGTTGACTCCAAGTTGTAGTTATGTTTATGTACAGATTACAGTCTTAGGAACAACACATCACAGCTGACCTGGAAGCGGGGAGTTTCCCAGCTGGAGTCAGTTTTGCTGGATAGCCACTGGGGAGGTGAGACATGCATAGCCTCTTTGAATGAGTGGAAGGTGCTGTTTAAGAATTACCATAAAACTGAGAAGATCAAGGCTGCCTATCTGACCTCAGATGGAATTCACACTTTTCTCTGAATGCCGTAGCTCTCCATCAGGAAAAAAATGGAATATTTGCATTAAGGAAAAAATGCCCATGTGGAATAGCTCTTTCATCTTCTGACTCTTGCACTAAGTTTCAGGCACCTAACAAAAATATTTCTTGAAAAATCATATTCCCAGAAAAACTTTAGGAGTCCTTACCTTCCACTGACATAATCGATTCCTGGCTTTCTTTAGAATGTATCTAGCAAATACATTTAACCCAATGATGTTTTTCCAGCAGCGTAACCTCTTCCATTTATTTCCCTTTGTTGTTTTTTTTTTTTGGGGGGGGGAAGAAGGATTCTGGGAAGAAACATCATTCCCAAACCTTTCTCCTGTGAGAATTTTAACTTCCTAGAAAAGCACAGTTTGTCACTTTGAAAGGGGGAATTCCATGGGAGTCCTCTACAATGTCAGCCACGTTCCTTCTTTACACACACAAAGATGACAACTTTTTCTAAAGACCCCATTCTTGCTACACTACATTTTACTACTTTATTATGTTTTCTTTCATCTAATTCTATTACTTTTAATAATAGTAGAACATAATGACTGGTCAAAATGTAATCAAGTACATATGTGAGTCTTGACTGTAAAACAATAAAATTCGCTGTGGACCCAGATCTTTTTACACATAAAACATATTAAAAAATCCCACAAGTCCTCAGTGGAAGTTTTTCCTGACAAAGAGCCACACAATTAGGCTATGATCCATGACTTTTGATATCCTTTGGACTTTAAAAAAATTGCCAAAAATGATCTGCCAGAATAGTATTCAATTCATTATGCCCTTCCTTGTTTTCCATCGCCTGAATGCAAACTGGACCCATTTCCTTGTTTTCTGTAAGACTGCACTGATAGTGTAAGAAGTACCTAAGCTCAAATAAAACAAGACTGGAACTTTTTTGGCTTGATTTTGGAGTTATCCAATTTTAATGATGAGAAACAAGCTTTGCATTATAAAACTCTGTGGATTGATTCTCCGCTTACATTTCTGCATAGCTATGCAGTCATTGGAAGTGGCAAGCAAACCAGGTTTTTGGTATTAACCTCCACAAGGGAAAGGAAAACTGCTACAGTAACACCAAGATGGGGACTATTGCATTTTTATTGTACTCTGTACAATATGTACAAACATGTCATTGATGCTTGTATAATGAAAAATACAGCTATTTCTAGAGCCAAGGTGGGAAGTTGCAGGTGTACGGCAGCACTGTGTCCCCAGTGGTACTCTGTGTGTGTGATCTGCAAAACTACATTGATGCACTTTGCTCACTGGGAATTGGGTAGCCAGTCTGGGAACACTCAGCTGGCACACGGAGTGCACACAGGACCCATGTCAAAGCATCTCCGAGTCACCATGAGCATGAAGGGCAAAGAGGGATGCGAGCCCCATACTGTTTTCCCTTCACTACGTTCGGGCAAAGAGATCAAAGCCTCTTTACCGAGGCCCCCCACTCCTTCCCACCTGAATTAGAGCAGTAAGTGGAATTCCATGTTATGCCACTGCCTTCCTGTTGCTTTTCTGGAAGTCATACCCCAGAGCTGGGTGACTCCTGCAGACAGTGCAGCAGGGTTGAAACCCTGGCTCCGGAGGATGACAAGCACTGTGCTTCTGCTGACTTCCATATGGTTCCCATTCCCACTCAGTGGATAAACTTGCTTTCTCCTTGGCTTTTTATCCTCAATTTACCTCATGTTAAGGGACATCATTCATAATTCTTCATATATTTTCAGATTGCCATATATTGAGTTCCAGGTTTAGATTAATTTATCCCTTTCTCGCCTGTCCCCCACTCCCAAAAATAAAGAACATTCAAATCAGTCAACAAGTGTAATATTTGTGAGAAAATTTTTAAAGCTGGAAATGAGTCTGGGATAACAGAAATGTGAACTAAGGAAAGTGCAGAGCTTTGCAGTATTTCAGACACTTCCCCACACAGTTCTGCTAAGGACAGCTATCAGTTTAAGAGTGGTAGCACACGGTCTGTGCTTGGTTTCTCATGTCCACATGCAGCAGTTTTAAAGGCTTCCATACAGGAGTAAGGCACACAGCCATGTAACTCCTGCCTGGGAGTGCTCTGTTTGGGATGGAGGGATCCTTTTTTGGGAGTGGGAGGGCTGGGAAGGAATGAGCAGGTGGAGATATGCTGCACTCTAAACAGCATATCCTGTATTTTTCATTCAGTCATAAAACTAATGTAAGTTAAAAATCAAAGGAAAGCATGTTGATATTAGAAAGAAGTTTCTGCATGGGAGAAATGACACTTTATGGAAAAACCACATGCTATGAACTACTGTATGCTACTGCTACATTAACCTCGAAAGAGGAATATTGGGCTTTTTCATGGTAATATAATCAAGTCTATTTTCACTTTTTTTTTTTTTTTTTGTCTTAAATTTTCCCTCACTAGAGGGAAAAAATAAATTTCCCTCACTAGAGAAAAAGAACAAACAAAGTTAGTTAAGGGTAAAAATTTGCTTTGTAAAATCCAAGAGCAATGACATTTTCATGTAAGAAAGCCATTTCATCCCTAATTTCTCCATTTCACTAAGACTCCGAACCCTTAAACTATGCAATTCACCAGCCAGGCAAGAGCAGTGCAGTAAGGCAGCCACAACATCCCTCAGCAGAGTTAATGCAGACGAAGTCTTTCGAACTATTTGGAGGGATTTTAACATTTTGGGTTTTTTTTTTGGTTTTTGTTTTGTTTTTTATCTTTTTTTTTTTTTTTTTT